TCCGCGTTTCCGGTAGCATCCTATTATCCCTGCCCTAATGCAATTTTTACCGTGTTTATTTAGATAGTGTAGTTTCTCCTTTGAGCGACATGACTGCAATCTACCAAGCAAACTTTTCAATAGGCCTTCTCCCATCACCAAAAAATACTTGCCTGTGGCTAAAAAATTGTGCTGACTAGGAAGCTGTACGTTAAGCTAACAAATTGTAATATATCTCTGGTTTTTATTTTATGGACATACATGAGACCAGTAGTCGTCTTGTTAATAGATATTTCGCTTCAACTTGATGGCATTATCCTTTACTCTTGGACATCAGATATTGCTTGTCCCGACTTAAATACAAAGCTTAGATAATGAATGCATTGTTGGAGAGACTTTCATTTCGTATGAAAGTACATGAAGAAGGGATTCGTAGGTCGATCTCACAAGAAGAGGACGGCTAAATCCCGTTGTACCGCAGCCTTTTGGCTTCTATACGACTTTCAGGGTGACGCAATCCACGACACCTCCCCATCGTTTTGAGTGAAAGCGAGCTGAACTTTCGTCCATCATATGATGGACATCACCAGGGATGGAACTCATTTTTGTAAAAGCTTCAAATTAACACTAGGATAAGAAAATTATCTAGCTCTATTATATAGACGCAAATAAGCAAAAGAAAATTAAAAGGCCCAGATAGGTATAGAATGGTTTTGCTAATTATCTTTCGCGTTGGTTTGTGTTATAGCCTGAATGGCTCCTTGAACCGCAATGTTTGTATAGATAGACGCAACATAAAAGCTCCTTAGCTTATTTTATGCTGAAGTTATTTGCTGATTAATTAGTTTGACAAATTCATAAGAATTTTCAACTGAATACAGCCAAAAATAGGCAGCTTTTCCTTAGTTATATGGTTGAAAACGTAAGATCTTACGCATCACGCGTACTTTACTATCTACAATTAATCCAAGAGGGACACTTTCCTTGAGAGGTCGTAAGCTTTTGCATCTCTCTGAAGTAGTAAATTCATTTTCCACTTCTCCATTTCACCATTACTTCCGCATACTTTAAAGGCATCCTTTAGCCGTCTTTCCATTGGATCTCTTAAAAAAATTTATACGTGTTAATATCATTTAAATGAATCGCAGTTTTTCTCTATAATTTGACCTAGCCGTGACTACCACTGCTCCATCTTTGTCAATTCTCATAATGATTAGATTATTACCACAAATATCCAGAAAACCTACTAAGAGCACAAGCTTTATTTGGCAAGATTATATGGTCTAACTGAAGGATCACATCCAGTTAAATACTATTCTTTACCTCCTCGGGTAAGCTATATTAATTCAGCAAGTATGTCCAGAGAATGATTTACTTCGTTTTGAAGAGCAAAATTCAATCCCTTGCAAATAAAAGTT